AGAGAGAGAGAGAGAGAGAGAGAGCACCAACTGCAATAGACACAAAAATAAATCATGTATGCCTTGATTGCTCTAATCCACATAACGATTTGTTGAAGCTTTATTTAATAAATTTCTTGAAACCTTGATATGTTTCTGATAATAGGCTAGATTTATGTAATATGGCGATTGTTTATGTCCCAGCTTGATTATGTTTCACTGTGATAATATAACTAAATGATGATAAATTGGCTCTAATTGTGAATTTCACACGTTGCAGGAGTGAGTAGCATGTATGAGGACTTAAAGCTGTGATTGGAGCTAAATTGAAGCAAGAAAAGCCCCTAGGAGCTGAGTACGTGGGAAGACGAAAAAAAGAAGAGACGAAATGAAGACCTGGACTAGCGCGACCGCGCTAGCCCAGATGGTCGAGGCAGAATGATAGGGCATATGCGCGGTCACTAGCGCGTCCATTAGCGCAACCGCGCTAGCCCAGTTCCGGAAAATTAAATTTCAGGGGTAAACTTGGAAGTTCGGGGATAAATCCACTTAACCTATAGAACGTCTAGCTCACCCAAGGATTCATTATCAAGGTTTTCATAGCTTAGTTCAAGGCAAGGAGAGGCAAGAGGCAAGAAGGATAATTCAACATCGAGTTTTTCCTTTCTTCCTTTTGTTTTTACGATTTGTGATGAATTTGAATATTGTCATGATGAACACTAGTATGAGTAGCTAAATATTTTAGTCTAAGGTTTTGATGGAACCTATTGAAGGATGAACTTCTTGTTATGTTAATATATTGTGCCTAGTTTAATCTCTATTTGTTCAACTATGTGCGTAGTTAATTGATAGGATCCTCAATTAGTTGTGCCTATTTAGTGCGCATAACTTGGGAGATAGTGCATATTTAGGTAATTGTTGAACAATACTACTCCCAAAGTATATGAGGGATCAATAACTGAGGGTTTAAAGGCGGGATTAGGGATAACAAAGTCTTGGGTGCAATCTAAAGTGAGCTATAATAAACAAAGCCAACTAGCGTATCTCGGGAGAGTGCGTCTAGTAAATTATTGTGATTACTCGAGAGAGATTTACAGTAATAAAAGTGCTCGTGGTTGATAGAGATGATTAGGCAATTCTATGTGAAACATAACCGGAAAAGATTCCATCAATAGGGGAAAACATAACCTTAGAACCTTCTCTTAATTGGTTACAACTTAATCATAGTTAGTTTTCAGTTGCTTATTTACATTCATTCTTAGTGAGTAGAAACATCTTCAATTGTTATTCATAACGTTTGGGAAGTTGAATCCGTGGAATTTAGTAAGTCTAACGAGAGTAATTGATAGGTTAATTCCTTGTGGGCTCGACTCTGGGCTAAATACTCAGATTATATTTGCAACATCCGTGTGTCCTTTTAATAAGGCATAGTTGGGCGTGATCAAATTTTGGCGTCGTTGTCGGGGAATTAACGGTGTTATCAATTACAATTGAAAGAAATAAAAAATTCTTAGTGTAGTCAGTTTTCTCTACACCCAATCTATACATTAAAATTTTAACGTTTGTTGACTTGGTTGTATAGGTGCATGCCTAGAAACTTATCGAGAACTGGTGAAGTATTTGAAGCATTATCAGATCCCGAGAGAGTTTTCAAGGCCTTGAATCGGTCCAACCGGAAAAACAAATAACTGAATGTGACGACCCAGCCAGTCGTCTCATGAGTTACTGCTCCGTTTCCCCATTTCAGCTTCTTTACGCTTCGTTATCCGTGTTTTATGTGATCGGGTTGATTAGTTCGAGTTCGGAGAGGATTTGATAAGAAATGAGACACTTAGTCTCTTTTAAGAAGGCTTAAGTTAGAAAAGTCATCCGGATGTTGACTTATGTGTTAGAAGGCTCGGAAGTTAGTTCCGAAGGTTCGGTTAGCTTCGGGAGGTGATTTGTGACTTAGGAGCGCGATCGGAATGGGTTTTGGAGTTGTAGAGAAGATTTAGGCTTGAATTGGCGTAATTGATATTTTGGCAAATTCCGGTTGAAAGGCGAGATTTTGATATATGGGTCGGAATAGAATTCCGAGAGTTGCAGTAGCTTCGTTGTGTCATTTGGGATGTGTGTGCAAAATTTCAGGTCATTCGGACGAGATTTGATAGACCTTTTGATCGAAAGCATAATTTAAGAGTTCTTGGAGTTCTTAGGCTTGAATCCTATGTTAAATAGGTGGTTTGATGTTGTTGTAAGCATTCCGAAGTGTTGAACAAGTTTGAACGATGTCATGATATGTGTTGTTACAATTAGTTTGAAGTTTCGGGGGTCCCGGATAGGTTCCGGGATGTTTTAGACTGAAAATCATAGTTGTAGCGGGTCTAGGAGGGTTGCAGGCCCCAGAACTCGCCCATGCGGTCCGCATAAAAATAAGTGCGCCCGCGGTGAGTGTTGTACGGGCCGCACAAAAGTGGGCGCGGTCGCAGTAGGCATCGCGCGGACCGCACAAAAGTGGGCGCGACCGCGGTGAAGAACCTTCCCGCTGGTCCTACTTCGGAAGCCCATATCTTTTGATATACAAGGAATTTTGAGGTGATTCAAAAACTAAAGTTGTAGCTCTTTGTGTCTAGTTTCCAAAGGTAAAGATATCTCAATTTGGACATCTGTAGCGAAAGTTATGGCCAAACTACTAAAGCCTGTCACTACAGAGGAAGGCTTGTGCGACCGCGGTTGTTTTTGCGCGGATCGCACTAGCTTGCGCAGACCGTGGTAGTTTTGGTGCGGCCCACGGAAGCTGGAATCTAAGGGGTACCCTATAAATACGAGGTTTTGGGTTTTATTTAATATTTTGACCTAGAAAGCTCAAATTTTGGCGATTTTTCGAAGGTTTTTCAAAAATTCATCGGGGTAATTTATTTTAACTCAGATTTGGCTAGAATACATGAATCTATCACTGAATGCATCATTTAATTCGTGATTTGGGATGGAATTTGGGAAGAAAATTGTGAAACTTTTCAAAAATGTAAAATAATGATTTGAAGGACCAAATGGTATCGAAATTGGATAATTTTGGTATGGTTAGACTCGTGTGGGTATGAGGATTCTAAAAATGTAAATTTTACCCGATTCTGAGACGTGGGCCCGGGGCTCGGGTTTTGCTAATTTTGGAATTTTTGATATTTTTCGAATGTTTTCGCTTGGGCTTTGTTCCCTTGGCATATTGTGACGTATTTGTTCTGATTTTAGATAGATTCGATGCGTGTGGAGGCCAATTCGAGGGCAAAGGCGTCGCGAGCTAGGGAATTAGCCGGTTCAAGGTGAGTAATGGTTGTAAATGATGTCCTGAGGGTTTGAAACCCCGGATTGCACACCGTAGTACTATATTCAGGCAAAATACGCTCTGGATGATGAGCGTGGGGTCTTTCACTACTGGAGATTGTGACTTGGTCCGTCCCGATTGATGATTTTACCGAATATCTGACTGAAATTCATTTGTTATCATCATCATTTGGGCTGATTGCCATATTTGGGCTTCGTGCCAACTATTTGAACCCTTCGGGGATTTTTATCACTGTTTCCTCACTCTTTGACTTATTATTTGAACTCAGTCCAGTTGATATCTACTATTTTACCAACTCAGCCACTTTTACTCAGATTTGAAACTTAAATGATATTTCTACATTATGTTTTGGGATAAGAACTACTGTTTTACTAATGCCCAAGGGGCTTGTGATGATTTTTGGACTGAGTGAGGCCGAGGGCCATATGTGAGGATATGCTGAGTGATATGAGGTCGAGGGCCTGAGATACTTTATATGCCACGAGGTAGCTCG